AAATAAAAATAAAGTAAAAGCTAAATAAAAAACTAATTACAAAAGCACACAACTAAAATTGCTTAACTAAATAAAATGAATAAAATTTAAAATAAATTATATATAAAAAAAAAAAATTTCAAAATATTAATAATTACTAAAGTATTACACTTAACATGTAACACTTAAGTTACACTAAAATAACACTGGTGTAATGTATATGGTTAGAAAAACAATAGAGGTAAAGGTAAAAATGCCACTGAAAACCAATTCGATGCAAATATTGTTCCTAAAATAATAATAATAATAATAATAATTTCTGAATCTGGAGTAGGTTATAAAACAAGTTATAAAATTTATTTTTATTCTGTATTTATTTGATATTTTTATTTTTGGAATAAATGATGCACCAATTAGGCTAGAAATGTGTATTTATTTATAAATTAAATGTGAACACAGCACATAATATGATTCTTTTTATCTTCCTCTCATCTTCACCTAAAGCCTTTTATGCTTCGACACTCTTCCCCATCCCCGTTTCCTCTCTATAGGGAGCTGAAGAAAGAGAAGGAGCGAGCGGAGCTGTGGAGGAACTTGGAGGATCTGCAGGAGCGGCGGCTGCAGAGTCTGACCGAGGCCAGCAGAAACCAGAAGAACCTGCAGGAGAGAGAGAACACAACCAAGAGCCAGTCAGAGACCAGTGCTGCCAACACCACCTAAAAACCGCACGCAAACACACACCGACACACACACACAATGTCATAGCACTGTAAAACACAATAATTACCTGACTTGGAAACCAATCAATGCCTCAATCTCCGTCTGAAAACACACACACGCACACACCATGCAGACACTACTGTCACAAGCACATGAACGACAGCCTGTCCATATGTAGATATCTGAAAAACACTGAAGCACACATCACACACAACGAGTGAGATATAAAAGAGAAAAAAATGAGTACCTCTCACATGCGTCCTACTCTTTCATATGCTTCATACACGCTTTTCACACACCTGCCTCTCTGCATCTTTTCTTTCTATTCCTCATGCTCCGGGATCATCAATCTCAACATGCGTAACATACCTGCATGGGGTGAAACACATGCACACACTCGCAATCAAACACGTACATCCTTCATTACTGTCATTTCAGAACTGGCTCCGTTTCTCTTGGGCCTGATCCGAGCCCCCCGTCAATCGACCAACAGACTCTGCATACAGTCAAACGCTGAAGAGGAATGAATTATGATGATCCTAAAGATGAAAATTCTTTAAAAGTACAGATTCTAATGTTCCTACTTCTACAGCTTATTCTATGAGTACTACTTCTATGCTAATATAACTGATGTTTTATATATATATATATAAATATGATATCTATGTCTGATTATAGTGTTGGTGGGGGTATTCTAGTGTAGCACCTCATAAACATGACTGAAGTATGCTGCTAGGTAAAACTAAACTTGCTCTGAAGTGACAACACTTTTAGTCTGTTCTTATGTTTTAAAAAAAAATCACATTAGAAATATTTTAATTTAACAATATTCTCATCTGTTTTAAATAATGGTGTGTCCGGCTATTTTTTTATTTATTTTATTCTTATTTATTTATTTCAAGTCAAATTGCTTGCAAACATTCTCTTTGTATTTCAGTACAATTTCAAGAGAGGACAGTCTTATTTTTGTCTTGATTTTTATATGTTTTTGGTTGCTTATATATATTGATGTAGAGGATTGCTAATGGGAAGGAACTGTATGCGTAGGCATACTGAGAAAGCTTAAGAATGCGCGAGTGTGTGAGTGTGTGTGGATGTTGTAGAGAAGTTTATTACAGTTTAGAAGAAAACAGGGATTAGATCAGAATGTACCATTCACTTTGAGTGTGCATTAACGCTCAAATGAACTGCCACTGCTGATTATTGATTTACAGTCTGTCATATGGAGAAAAGGATGAGAAAAGCAAACAGTCTTGTTCTTGTTCAAAAGAAAGCATCTGGATTGACTTCTCATTTGTTTGACCTCTGAGAAAACCGGTATCTGCAGAAACATCACATTTCATAGGAACAAAATGGAAAAGAAAAATGAAATAGAATAGACACGGCAATAAATATGGACTGAAATTGTACGCATACGTAGCATCACTTAAACTTTAAAGTTGCACTGTCCTTTTGATCAATGTCTTGTGTTTAAACATAGCAATGTATTTTTGGGGGACAAGTGGCTTTTGGGATATGAATGTATAAAAGTGGGATGTAAACATGAAAACTTGTGTTGAATAACTCAGCATCATGAACACTTTTGTCATTATTTTCACTCAAAACCTTTGACACATCTGGGGTTTTGTTCACTTGTTAGTAGCCAACCATATTTATACCTTTTCTTTTACTTCAGAAAGGTGCTGTTGATTCAAAGCTGACCAGTTTTCGTCAAGCTGAAAACATAGTTCACATCATTGACATGAAGCTGATGTCATTCAGTTCATTCCTAAAACACCAGCAGATGTTTAAAACGTGATTGGTTAAGTTTGCATATAGTGTGTTGTAATGTTCCGGCCTAGATTAATGGGAATTATAATTAGTGTGATGTCAGACTGTCCTATTAAAACAGCAACAGCTTTAAAACAGCAAGGCATTCGGTGAACCGACACAGTTTGCTAATTTCCTTCATAAAAGCTTCTGGCATCTGCTTGTGGACTCAAACAAGTGAGTTAATCTCCTCCAGTTTTTTGTTTTATTGCTGTTTTGTGTTTAGAATTTAATTAATTCTGATTTAGCCTAAGTGTCGTTAACGTATTTTTTTTAACAGACTTGTCAATGGAAGTGCAGAGTATCTTGATTTCAAGTGAACATTTTTCCATGGCTGGCGTAAACAGTCACATGACCAGAGCTGTTTGGCCTTCTGATGCCCTTCAGAAAGAACGACCATATTTTATACATACAGGCTAATATTTAAAATGTCTATAATGAATAATTAAGACTGTTCGGTCTCATATTATAAAACTGTACATTTCCAAATATTGTTACATTATATAAAACAAGGAAAATATATACATAAATAGGCTACATATATATGTATATATGTAAATCCCCGGTCTCATAACTGCGTGGAAAACGTTTTTTAGTTGTTATCGTTAGCCTATATAGGTTTGGGTATTATATGATAGTTAAAACATTTTGGGACGAAAATGGGGATTTCTGAAGCTTTTTACCTCATTTCTTCAGAATTATGATTCACAATTCAAGACCCCCGGAATACCAGACGCTGGCGACGTCTGCTGGTCACACGTATGTAAATGCAATTAGAGGACCAACCGCAAGAACACCGGTACTCAATATTTGGTAGAATATATGTATTTTTCCATTTAAGTTTTTGTTTTTGAAGTATTTTTTGGGGGTATAAATGGAGCAGGTGAGGGAAAGTAGTAGCCAGAAACAGGCAATGAATCCTTGATAATCCGTCAGAGATTCTCCATTAACTAATAGATTAAAAAAAAAATCTAATGCTTTAACAGCAGGCACATAGGCTTTTTTATTTGTATGAAATACATTATTGTTATTCATAATTTCTTTCAGAATGTACCCTGACCACTTCCTAGTGACTGCTGTGACCTTTCTGCTCCTGTTTCCTGGGTTTTATTCCGCCATGGCTGTGACGACCTTGCAAAGTTTTCGTGGCTGTGCGGTACGTGATTTTGCTTTTGTGGCCAGGAAGCCAGGATGCAGGAGTCTGCGAATTAACACCGAGGCATGCTGGGGCCGCTGCCACACCTGGGAGGTGACCAAAACCTGCTATATTCAACTTATTTATAGAAAAATATGAGAACACGTGGTGTATACGTATTTATTTCTATCACAGAGGCCGGTTCCAGAGCCGCCGTATGTCCAGAGGCACCACCGTGTCTGTACCTACAGCCGAACACGGCACCTGACAGCACGTTTACCAGGTTGTCGCCCTGGCGTCTCCCCAATCTACCATTACCCTCAGGCCTTACAGTGTGACTGCACCTACTGCTCCTCAAACCACACAGAGTGTGAAACCTTTTAAGGGCACACACACACACAACTGATTCATACACATTCTCTTTGCTTATTATGTAAAAAAAATTTCATTTGTTATGTAAAATATTATTATGCATTAGATGTCACAAAACATGATTTAACAATAAAACATAGCCTAGAAAACATCATGTACTCCTTTATTTCAAACGATTAGACAGATTTTGTGCAAACATCACCTTCATCACCATCATCATCCGTAAGATACATTCTTTATGTCATTAGGTGGCACCGACATTAGAAAAGTGATTTTTATTTGAACTAGAGAGTATCTGATGCTATTTGCCTGTGTATTGTATTGCTTTCTGTCTTTACACCACATCTGAGAACATTTCACTCATGCTGTTTCAAACTGTGTCATCTTAGAACTTTAGATACAAGATAAAAAGAAAAGGAGATTATTTTATTATACTGTATAAAAGTTTGAGGGTGGTAAGATTTGTTTGAAATGTTTTTGAAAGAAAATATCTTAAGCTCAAAAGGGCAGCAGTAAGTAGAAACAGTAATATTGTAAAATATTAAAATTTTAAATAATATTTTAAAATATATTTTAAAATGTCATTTATTTCTGTGACGACAAAGCTGCATTTTCAGCAGACTTCAGTGTCACATGATCCTTCAGAAATCATTCTAATATGCTAATTTGGTGCTCAAGAAATATTCGGTATTATCAATTTTGAAAACAGTTGTGCTGCCTGATATTTTTGTGGAAATTGTGAAATTTTTGTTTTACCCAGGTTCATTTGATAAATAGAAAGTTCAAAAGAAAAGCATTTATTTGAAATAGTTTATTTTTTAAATGCAAAATATTTTACTGTCACTTTTGATCAATTTAACGCATCCTTGCTGAATACAAGTATTAAATCTTTACTGACCCCAAACTTTTCAATGGTAGTATATTTGTATGTAAATTTACAAGTAAAATAAAAACAAGCAAATAAACAAACTGCATATTTGAATAATTACACACCAGTCTTGTCCAGTACTGCATGAGTGACACGTTCTTTATGTAGGATCTCAGTAACGGGATCTGTGGCACATGTTGCACCGACAGGCGCGCGCAGTCAAGATCTCCATATCATGATGACGGCCTCGAGGACAGTGCAGACGAACTTTGATCTGAGAAAAGACCGAAGGAACAAAATATTATCTTTAATAAATGATTTCAATTCTCTTGAACAATTTTGACAATGTATTCTGAAATGATTCACCTAATAGAATAAAACAGAATAGATTGTTATTGCATGACTGGGCCGGTGGAAATTATGTCCAGAAATCCACAGAGGACCATAACCATTAAAGTCTTTAGTCATAATGGTTCATAATTGGTTCTTCTGATGTAGAATTGGTCTTAGTAATATAATGGTTAGTCGATGGTGATAGTGCTGTACCTTGGCATCCTTGCTAATCGTGCAGCAGCGGGAAGCAGACGTTATGTTGCGGGTGAAGTTGGAGGCCAGCAGCACAGAGTAGCGCGAGGGGAAAGCGCTGGACTCACAGTAGCCCACGCAAGCGTACACCAGCTGAGTTCCTCGACAGGTCCCTCGCTTGTCTGTCCGTATGGTCACGTTGAATGCTGCGTGTAGACAGAGGGGTAAACTAGTACTTTTTTTTTCATAAGAATGCGTTTGATTGCTTCATAAAAATGAGGTCGTTTCCACTCACGGTAAAGGTGGCAGCCAGGGCTCAGGGCTCGAAAACTCCAGCTAATAGGCATTAACAACACCAACAGAACCATAGGCAGCATAAGCACTGCCAGATCAGATGTTACGCAGCGGAACATGGTGATGTTAACCTGCAAGAGTAACAACAATTTAAGCGAATTCACTCAAGAAATGCCACTAGAATATATCACCAGTACACTCATTTTGTTTTCATACACTCTTTTGGTAACCTGGACCAGTGGCTAAACATCTTTTAGTGCTTCGTGACTTTAATAAATGATTTCATACCGTTTACATAAACATTTAAGTCATTTGGCCCTTTAGAAGAATAATTTCTGTGAGAACTGACCAGACTTTCCTGACTATTGTCTTGGGAGTTCATTATTGGGAGTTGTCAAAATAATCTGAAAATTAAACTGCCACTTTCCCATCACAATGTGTGTGAAGGTTTCCATGCCGTAAACGGGTTTATATTTATTTATTAGTAACTAAATTTTATTATCATGTGTCTGGTTCATCGTGTGTAATATGTGAAACAATTCGGAACAATTATGAAATTGTTTTTTTTGTCCAATATAATCAGAATATACATGTAGCCTACGCCTACGTTTTTTTTCTTTCCTTCTATCTCTAGTTTGAAAACATTGGTCTTTTTTTACTCATACACATAAATAACTATACTTGGAGAATTCAATTTTTATAGACACTTTCTTTTCTTTTTTTGCCTTTACTATATATATATATATATATATATAAAAATAAATAATTTACCACACACACACACAGCCTACACTGTAAAATCCAATAGTTTACCTTACTTAGATTTAATTAGTAATCTTTACTTAGTTGTTATACTTACTAGGTTTTATTAAGTTACAGTCTTGAATGTTGAATTTTCAATACAACTGAAATATTTGAGAGAACATCACATAAGCTAACTTCATATTCAATTGATGTTGATTTTCCTCAAATGTTTTTTTATTTTTTTTATTCACCATTATAGTGATTAGCGTTCCCTTTGGTTGGGCACTTGGAACTTTGTTTATGTTACTATAATTATCTTTCTGTTAATGCACCAATGCATTGTGAAGGTAGAGTAATTTGACTTAAAGGGAAAAAAGGTAATAAACAGATTGCTTTTAGAAGGTGACTTATCTTCTAATTAAATTAATGTGTTATTTTTTTGTGCTTGTGTTAGTCAATGAACTTTTGCAAAATTTATTTTTCATAAATACCTTAAGAAGTAAATGAAAGGATCAAGTACCCCCTACAGTTCTTTTTTAGTTACTAGAACTCTTGTGTAAGTAAACTATACTAACTAAGCATTTGTCAGTACAACATACTATTCCTATTTCACTTTGCTTAGTTTTTTCAAGGCAATCGGTTTGCATGCTTTTTTTAAGTAAGCCCAACTAATTAGATTTTACAGTGTATAAATATATATATATATATATATATTAAACTTACTTGAACAAAATATATCTACATTTTAAATATCTATCCAACAATCTACATGCATGAAAGTACACACAGATCAAATTAGAATTAATTGTTTAAAGCAAGGAGTGTGAAGCTTGCTTTTGCTGCTGTTGAACCGACAGATGGATGGATAGATAAATTAAAAGAATTATACTACCCCTCAGGGAAAAGTCTCAGAAATAACTTTTGTCCACAGCATAAATAATAGGTAATAGAGAAATCAGCATTAGTTACATTAATATTAATCTCATACCAAGACATCCACATTACATAAAGTGAAAAAGGCAAAGTTGTACCTGTAGATGTGGATACTGCTTCAAAGCCAAAGTGTGTTCAGATAAGATGTTGACCTCAGACAGGTGTGCAGGTGTGAAGTTGTCTCTCACAGGGCACATATATGTAGTGCAGGTAGAACTGAGCTCTCAGTTTCCAGCATAGTCACACCCACTTACCAGTGTGTCCTCGTGCATGTGGATGTGGAGAACCGGACCCTCCCCACTGCCATTATTCCACTGTTTTACTGCACTTGCTGTTGTTCCCTGTCCCATCCCATTTCTTTTCATTTTGCCTAACTTTATAACCTTTTGCACGTGATTTAATCTCTCGTGCTCTGGTCTTTGTCATGCATGATATAGGGCCAAATCATCTCAAAACAAACTGCTTTAGGTCTGTAAACCCATGCACAATATCTGAACAATTCATGTGAATATGAAGACTGCATGGTAAACAATATAAACAAGTGTAAATGTTTTTAAATATTCACAAATCAAATGGATTTTTGGACCACTATTAAATTGAAAATTATGCATGCCCGTTAATTGCAGAGACCAACACTGCAGATATTGTGTTGACACAGCTGGCATCATACTAAAGTGAATTTTTGGTCATGTAAACATCTTATTCAAAACATCAACCTAACCATTTATTTATATTTGCACATGTTTATAACAAATGTAATTTTTGGGTGGTATTAAACCCTGTTGTGAGAAGTCAAAATACTAAAAAAATACATTTTTGGTTAAGAAATCATTTTTTGGATTTTAATAAACCACTGTGACAGAAATGAATCTTTCCATTAAGGGGTGAAATCTTCTTCCGTAAACTGATTTCCAGGAATTTCTGTATTATTGTTCAGTACAAAAATGAGAATTAGCAAGATTGAAATACAGCATAATAATGGTGAGCATCCTCATTATTTCCTGAAGAGCATGGAAAGAGTGAAGATGTCATGACTTTGTTTATTTGAATTGTTCTGAGTATATAGAGTAGAGTATAGAGCAATATTCCAACAGTTGTGGAGAATATGATGACTTTTTAAAGGCTTTACCAGAATGTACACTGTACAAAAGTTTAGGGTCTTTTATGCTCACCCAGGCTGCATCTAATCAAAATACAACAACACAGTAATATTGTGAAATATTATTACAGTTAGTATATTTTAAAATGTAATTTATTACTGTGACGGCAAAGCAAAAATTTCAGCAGCCATTCCTTTAGTCTTTGGTGTTACATGATATATAACATTTCTTATTTTTATCAGCTGAAAAGAGTTGTGCTGCAGAAATCATGATACTTTTTTTTTTTTTGATGAATAGAAAGAATAATTTATTTTAAGAATGCTTTGTAACAATGTCAGTCTTCACTGTTAATTTGGATCAATTGAATTAATCTTTGCTGAATAGAAGTATTCATTAAAAAATGATGTGCATGTACAGTAAATGTTGTTGTTGATGCTGATGCTATTTTAGTGCAAAAGCTAAATTGAAAGTCCTTTACAATGCATTCCTGGGTGCTGACTATACTAGCAAACTACTATTAATCCATTCACTTTCTAACACGCACAATTCATTATGTCATTGGAAATGGAATGGATGACATAATTCAACATCCTCTCGACCCACCTCCCCACAACACACACGCTCAGCATGATTCATACTTCAAGGTCTCCAGGGTTTTTATCACAGAATGGAGTGTAATTATAAAAAGATATTAAGATTTATACAGGGCCAGCTTCTCAAAAAAAAACGTCAGAGTTTGATTGACACGGAGGTTTAAAGGTCGAGATATTAATATAATCAGCTCATCAAGTGAAAACCTGAGGCCATGCCCTCTCCTGTTGTTTTGGCAGCTGCTATAAAGTGCAAGCGGATGTATTAATAATCTAATTCTTCATGACTCTACTGGCTTCCAGGTTACAGCGATACGTAAACTCTGAAAATAAAAACAAGAGAGATAAATCTGGGCTTAAAGACGTCTATTTTTGATACTGCAGTAGGTGAGTTGTGTAAACTCCACCGAATTACTGGAGTCCTCGCCAGAGTGAACCAACATCATCATTTTCTCATCGCCCACCACAAACAAAATGAGGACATGACGGAATTAAAAGTACATGTCAAATTCTGTTCTCCGCTGGCTTATTGATTTGTGCATCTCTTTCTATGCGGAGGAATTGGATGAGATGGGATGTTATTTTAACAGCTAAATTATTATGTTCTGCCTGCAGATTGAGTGACAGCTTCATTGAGATTGCGCCCCATGCTCAGGCTCCTCTGCTCTGCTGTTTCATAACTGCTGCATGTGACTCAACACCTCATCACTCGGGTCAGCAATCTTATCAGCTTATCAACCATCACTGAAAACAAAGTGGAAAATCCCACAAATGTCTCCTTGTGTCTGTCTGACAGCAAGGTCCCATGAAACGTATTTATAAACACCATCCTCTAATTGTATGGCTTTGTTTCATCATCACTCTGAATGGCCTTTTAAATGATTGGCATCTGTTTACTGTATATGAGTCATGTGATGAAATTTGGGCCTGTTCTATTGTTGTTTTATTCATTATTATTTTATTTCCATTTATGTTGCATCGTGACATTATGCATCCAGCAAGGACTTTAAAGAAGTATTAAAATGACACTACAAGTGTTGGAAAAAAACAACTAAATACACTTTGAGGGAAAGACAGATTTGCATTGGTGAAGGACAAGACTTGACATTGATTTATTACCTCATGCAGCACATAAACACACTTACTGAAAGCACTCTGGGGTTTGCTTATTATCCTTGTGTTGGTTCATAGTGCCCTCTTCTGGATAATCCATTGCAGTGGTTTGGTCTGTCCTCATTGGGTCACTAGCACACTGTGGACTTTTCAATATAGACTGTTTCTCCTGTGGGCATTTACATTTACTTTCATCAGCTTCTGACAACCACAATGATAGGAATCAAGCACCATGGCAAAACATTACGTATGGAATTTTTACCACAAAATAATTTCAACATAACTTAAGAAATGAATATTTAACAAAAGACACTCACCATGACGGAATTAAAAGTACATGTCAAATTCTGTTCGCCGCTGGCTTATTGATTTGTGCATCTCTTTCTATGCGGAGGAATTGGATGAGATGGGATGTTATTTTAACAGCTAAATTATTATGTTCTGCCTGCAGATTGAGTGACAGCTTCATTGAGATTGCGCCCCATGCTCAGGCTCCTCTGCTCTGCTGTTTCATAACTGCTGCATGTGACTCAACACCTCATCACTCGGGTCAGCAATCTTATCAGCTTATCAACCATCACTGAAAACAAAGTGGAAAATCCCACAAATGTCTCCTTGTGTCTGTCTGACAGCAAGGTCACATGAAACGTATTTATAAACACCATCCTATAATTGTATGGCTTGGTTTCATCATCACTCTGAATGGCCTTTTAAATGATTGGCATCTGTTTACTGTATATGAGTCATGCGATGAAATTTGGGCCTGTTCTATTGTTGTTTTATTCATTATTATTTTATTTCCATTTATGTTGCATCGTGACATTATGCATCCAGCAAGGACTTTAAAGAAGTATTAAAATGACACTACAAGTGTTGGAAAAAAACAACTAAATACACTTTGAGGGAAAGACAGATTTGCATAGGTGAAGGACAAGACTTGACATTGATTTATTACCTCATGCAGCACATAAACACACTTACTGAAAGCACTCTGGGGTTTGCTTATTATCCTTGTGTTGGTTCATAGTGCCCTCTTCTGGATAATCCATTGCAGTGGTTTGGTCTGTCCTCATTGGCTCACTAGCACACTGTGGACTTTTCAATATAGACTGTTTCTCCTGTGGGCATTTACATTTACTTTCATCAGCTTCTGACAATCACAATGATAAGAATCAAGCACCATGGCAAAACATTACGTATGGAATTTTTACCACAAAATAATTTCAACATAACTTAAGAAATGAATATTTAACAAAAGACACTCACCGGTGTGTTCCAGGCGTTGGTATTTTTCACTGCTGAACAAGAGTCAAAGACTATAGTTAATTTAAAGCATGTGTCATAGTGAAAAGGTGATATTGAGAGGACTCCCACCTGCATATGGAAAGGCTGGTTCACGATACTCCACATACAGCGTGATTAGGAAGGGGTATGGAGACAGTTTTACACCCTCTTTCATGAACTTCATTTTGGACACTTGTTCCCATTTACTTTTGTCTGTAAGTGTGGTGTGTTGTCAAGGGAAGTAATGGTCCATTATTTGTATAAATTGTAGTTATCACCTTTAGTTTAACTGACTCTGAATGCAACAGCAGTTCAGTTTTTATTAAAATGACAAACATTTAAAAAAAAGAGTCAAAGTCAAGACTCCCTGAGTTCTTTCATACATTTAAAGGGATAGTTCAATAAAATGGAACTTTGGTTATTATTTACTTAACCTCATGTATTACTTTTTTCGTCTGTGGAACATTAAAAAAATGTTATTTACAAAATGTCTTAGCGGTTTTTTTTCCATAAAATGGAAGTCAAAGGTAACCAGAACTGTTTGGGTCCTGACATTCTTCAAAATGTCTTCTGTGATCTGCAGAAGAAAGATAACAGCTCTACAGGTTTGGAACGACAATTTCATTTTTGGGTAAAGTTAAATTCAGAGAAGCATACAGGGAAAAATGTTGAAATGCTGGGTGGTGAAGGGGTGAAGACCATCCAGGTTTGCAAGTACCGCACGCACAGCATTCTGCAAAACAAAATCAGATTAGGAATGAAATCTTCCCAAGGTTTACTAAATCAAATCCAAAATGATAATCCTGGTCTTAAAAAACCTCCAGCTCCTCACTGACTAGCGCTCCATACAGCATTTCTTCCGCATGAACGCTATAAAAGACAATATCCAAATCAGATAGGCTATTTCTAGAGAAATTACCTCTTTTTTAACTAATATCAAAAGGTAGGCTATATTGTAAAGGTATATTGTAAAGGTAAAAATCGAAAAGGTATTCAAAATAATATAGCATACTTTATATTAAACAAATAAAATAAGCTTGTATGGTCTTGCCTGCTCATGTCTCCTCTTCTTATCTTGAATTTGAAGACTTGTTGTCCAGCCTGAAATAATCTGGTCTCAGGTACAGGGAAGGAAAATGCCTGGATTGACATTGTTACTCATTTATGTATAAATGGAACCTTCACTGGAAAAATATTAAACAAGAAGTATGGTATTACCTATATGATAAATGTATGTTTTACGCTTAACGTTATATGTGTATAGTTTACAGAAATCCAGATTACTAAACAACTCCAGCTTGCTAGGACAAATGATCAATTCCCTGAGTTTCTGTAATTTATAAAACCAACACAGAATCGTTTAAATTTTTTTTTTTTAAATTTATAAATGGAAATGACATGGTTAATAAACACTCGGGGGCAAAAGTATAAGTTACCGTAACGCCTCAAGTATTTCGCGCCAACTGTTTTAGAACGTTGAAAAAGAGCGCGGACACTGCGGCAGTGTACCATAATGAAGCACAATTAGGTCATGCCCTCTGTTGCCTGCTGCCCAAGCATAGCCTCTCTCGAGAAGATGTTTTTATTACTAGTAAACTGGGTCCCAAAGATCAGGGGTCCAAAGCCAGAGATGGTTGCCTGAGGAGCCTGGAGCAATTGGGATTGGGCTACATTGACCTATATCTTATTCATTGGCCAGGTACTCAAGGGCTGCCAGCGGGGGATAAACGAAACCCTGAAAACCGTGCTCAGAGCTGGACAGTCTTGGAGGAGTTCTACTCAGAAGGAAAATTTCGGGCCATTGGGGTGTCTAATTACACAGTAGAGCACATGCAGGAGCTACTGAAGAGCTGTAAAGTGCCCCCAGCAGTTCTTCAGGTGGAGTTCCACCCAAAGCTGGTTCAAAAGGACCTGAGGGCACTTTGCAAGGAAAGAGGGGTGTGTTTTCAGGCATACTCGTCTCTTGGAACAGGGCTTCTACCATCAGACCATGTGGTTCTGGATTTAGCAAAAAAGTATGGGAAGACATCAGCCCAAGTGTTGCTGAGGTGGGCCGTACAACAGAACATTCCAGTACTGCCAAAATCGCGTCAGCCAGAACGTGTGGAGGAGAATGGGCGTCTGTTTGACTTTGAGATTAGCGAGGAGGATGTGGAAAAGCTCTCCGCTCTTGATTGCGGGGAGAAGTTCTGCTGGGATCCAACACAAGTGTCTTAAAGACAACTCATTGACAAAAACTCAAAATGAATTTTTGATTTACCGAAATTCCAAGGTTGTTCAGATTTACAAATTTACATCCCACAGCATAATCTACATGGCTCTTTATTTTATGGTTAGCTTGCTACTTTATCTTTTGCTTGACCATTTGAAAGGGAACTGTGAGAGTTGTTCTGATGCAAACAGTATATTAAACCAGAATTGAAAACAACTGAGGCATTAGCAAATTCCCATAGAGTATTTAGTTGGTTAACTCTGTAATAGTGTCAGGATTTTTTTTTAAGCCGCATGTCCAAGGTCAACCTCTGTTTACAATTTGCACCTCACATAAAACAAAGGAGTAGAGAGTGACTAATGCACAAGTAAACAACTGCAGTTTGATACATTGCCAAATTCTATTACATGAAGAACAGTACTTACATTTTACGTTTCAGAAAGAAGAACAACCTTGCTGAAAGTGATTTATTCATTCTTAGTAGGCTATATTGGTTACAAACAATAACATCACAATAAAATGTTGTTTTTAATTAATAGAAAAGTTACAAGGCATTGAAAATCTGTTATGTTCAAGTAATAACAGTAATGTTTGATTGTGTCCCCTGCTCTCTTGGGTATTTAGACCCATTCTTGTTTTTAAGCTTTTGTGCTTATTAGTTGTAGAAACTTCCTGTAGATTTTTATGAGATGGTAATAAAGCAAAAGGATTCTTCAAAGTGACCAAAGTCCCTTTACAGTAAAAACCGATTTTATTCAGGTAATGTATAATAAAATACCTTCAAAGTCTATGATTTGAACAAGCTGATATCCAGCTTTCTCACATTCATGAGATTTACTGCGTAATATTCCCAGAGCTCAAGGAAAATGGGAGATTCTCCGGTTTTGTCATTTTTGTGGGCTAGCACATGCCAGTGAGAAACCGATAATGCTTTTCCACAGTCAAGGGTCCCAGTGCAGTTCATGAAAAGGGTTTAAAACCAGTCGATGGAATTATTCCATCTCTTCACAGCAGTGCATCCTTTTCTTCTGCCGCCAATTGTTATGTACAGTAGTCCTCTTTTCTCTCTTCTTCCATCATTCATTCACTGTCAGTCACTCTGCGGGGCGCGACTCAGCATCAGACTCTTTGTGACTCCAAAGGAAGGCCAACCAGCTGGGGGACTGCCGCATCTGACGTGTTGTTCCTGCGCTCTTCACCCTCTTCATCTGTAAGAGATGCAAGATAAGAAAATCATTTGAATTTTCCATTGCTTAATAAGTAGGTAAAACAGAGTTTTAGTTTACCTTGCATGTTGATCACTATTCTTAATGGAACTAGGTTTCCTTACCCCTTTATCAAGGAGGATGTCAAACTCATCACTCATTCTCCTTAGCTGTTGGCCATATTTCTTAGCTGCCCACAAAGCAGGAGGAGCCGAGCGAGATCTAGGCCTGAAAGGATCACCTCCAACCAAATCGCCTTCATCTGCTGCCCCGGTCTCCAGCAGGTCCTCATCATTCATGGAAAGATTCCGGTGTCTCCCTAGTTGTTCTCCTACAATGACATTTGATATTGAATGACACCTGATCAGATCAGACCTTACGTTAGAATACATTTAAAGTATCTCTTAATGTGAAATAAATTTGATCCATTATTGGTTTTAAAAGCTAAAACCAATGCCACCACAGAGTGCCTTTGAATGTACAATGTACTACATTCTTGTATTTGCTTGTAATTGTGGTCTGCTGTGCTGTGTATCCAGGATACAACAGAAATGACGTGTGTTCTTGTAACTATCCTACAGGCCCTTGAGACTGACTCACCTTTCAGCCTATCAGGCACAGCGAGATGCTGCTTTCTCTGTGGTGATCCACTGTTATTTTTCACCTGGCCTGATTCCTCACAGTCTTCTGATGTCTCGGTCTCTGACTCATTGTCAGAGATACTGAACATTTGTGCCATGATTAAACTGCAAGTTAAAAGAAAAACTTGATTAATTACATTTTCATTTATGCGCATTTCTAAATATGCTGTTTAGGTAAATGGAAACATGTTGCTGTTTGTGTGTTATTTCACATTATGAAATAGCTTATCCTCAAACAGATCAACTAAGAGCAGAGTCAGGATCAACAATATAACCTAATAAGCTACCGGTAAAGATGAGGCAAACAGTGCAATACTGCTTGATTAATATAGGCAACACTGTTGCGCAGTATTTCACTCTTGAGCCACCACCAAAAAAAACAAACAAACCAGTGTTATGGTCTGAACTCAGACAGACTTTCTCGACGCGATCGTTTATAGTGAAACCTGACCACAGACGTATTTCTCAAAGCTGATTTCAAAGAAATAACCTGCATTATCTGACAATAAACATAACAATAACAGTATTACCAATACCAGGTTTTTTAAATTTAGTTCTGCAAATGCTAACTACTTATGCTTATCGAGTTACGTGTCATAATTATTACATTTCAAGATACGGTTGTAATCTCACACGGTCACATATAAAAACGGGGATCAAGAGGAAACTTCTGTTTACAACTTTGAGGCTCAGTGCCACCCAAAACCCTTAAACAGAGGTTGTAACTTTACCGTCCGACGACCGCGGGTTGATAACTTAAAAAAAAAAAAAAGTTTCAGCCCTGCTTTGTAGTGTTTTCAAAATCGCGTCGTGTATTTGTTTAATTATTAATATTTAAACTATCGAGTTACCCTCCCGATTTTGGAGTCTGTCGGCGTCCTGCTTACAGTCTTCCGGGTGATATGGGTCTGTGTTTTGGATTCCTGCTGCGGTCCTGACACGCACCCGTGATGTGGGGAGTAGAAGCGCAACAGCAAATCACCTCCAACTCCCACAGTGCAGGACACTTGTAAAGAATAACACATTCATTGAAATAAACACAGGCGTTGTTGTATTTATTAAACGTTTCAGCCCTAAATAATTTTTTATAGAAAACCACTTTAAAAAGAATGGACCCTCATTTACCAAATAAATGAATATGAAAAATGGATGACTTGAAATAATTTTATTATTTTTATTTTCGTTTATCAGGAGAGTGGCAGTTAAAGAGTTTTTGCTATGGACAACGGTTATTATTCAGAAATTAATGTCAGTCAATAGTGGCATTGAAAATAAATCGATAATGATAAAACGTTTGCTTTTATGATAATGACTGCGATAATGATGCAATAAAATTACTGGGAAAAAATAGGAAAAACTTCTGCGCTAATTAAGTAAAATAAAAAGAAAATGTTTATAATTGGGTGCGTAGATTAAATCAATAGAGAAAAATACAAAAAGGCAAAGGCAAAAAATCCGCACACCAAACGAAATGCAAAGTTAAAGGTCCTTTGAACAAAAATGTATTCCTGAACATTTACATGAAGGTGACAACAAAAACTAAAGTGCACAAACAAAAAAGTGACTGCACACACACACACACACACACACACACACACACAAAAGCAAACGTTTCAGTCCTTGCTGGACTATCTTCAGTGTTAAAAGGAATATTCCTAATAGGAATATTGCTAATAACCTACTCCTAAATATAATGTAGAAACTTAATATTTTCTGTAAAGCTGCTTTGCAACGATTGGTATCGTGAAAAGTTTAGGCTATCTATACAAATAAACTTGAATTGAAAAAAACTAGAGTTGAATAGAAATATAATTATAATAAATAATTATATTATTATATTAATATCTAATAAATAAAATATAATTATGAGAAGGAAAGCAATTTAATTACTGGGTACATATTTAATGTTTTGGTCATTTTTAGATTTTTATGTCCTGAATTGAATTATGTCCATGTCACGTTTAATAACTATTAATGGTGGTGTGTTTGGTAGCTACATGAAACACAAGATGTCGCTGTCTTGCATTGCGGGTTTGTGTTTTGAGTTGATATTACGCAGGGCAGGGGTTGTAATAATTAGCATCAAAATTCTCACGTAGTGTCATATATTCAGTAATTACCTGACTGAACACATTTTCCCTCATTAAATAGCCTGAATTTAATTTGCTTTTTATATTGTGACACAGGTATAAAAAGTTCATAATTGTATAATAAAAAGGGACTTTTAAATTTAACCTCTCCTCCATATGTATTCATTAACGTATTATAGATAAATACAATGTTGTTTTGTCCACTCTAAAACGTATTTTGCCGTAAAGAATCGTTCAACAGTAATACCGGAAGTAAAAGCTCCAGTCTTTTCCCTCTCTCTTTCTCTCTGGGCGCTGTGTTTGTTCTCTAGTGCGCGTCGCGAGGATATGGAAGATGGCGAGCGCCGAGACAGCGGCAGAGCACGAGCGAATCCTGCGTGAGAGGTACATATTTAATGTTTTGGTCATTTTTAGATTTTTATGTCCTGAATTGAATTATGTCCATGTCACGTTTAATAACTATTAATGGTGGTGTGTTTGGTAGCTACATGAAACACAAGATGTCGCTGTCTTGCAATGCAGGGTTTGTGTTTTGAGTTGATATTACTTAGGGCAGGGGTTGTAATAATTAGCATCAAAATTCTCACGTAGTGTCATATATTCAGTCATTACCTGACTGAACACATTTTCCCTCATTAAATAGCCTGAATTTAATTTGCTTTTTATATTGTGACACTATTGTAGATAAATACAATGTTGTTTTGTCCACTCTAAAACGTATTTTGCCGTAAAGAATCGTTCAACAGTAATACCGGAAGTAAAAGCTCCAGTCTTTTCCCTCTCTCTCTCTCTGGGCGCTGTGTTTGTTCTCTATTGCGCGTCGCGAGGATATGGAAGATGGCGAGCGCCGAGACATATTACGCAGGGCAGGGGTTGTAATAATTAGCATCAAAATTCTCACGTAGTGTCATATATTCAGTAATTACCTGACTGAACACATTTTCCCTCATTAAATAGCCTGAATTTAATTTGCTTTTTATATTGTGACACAGGTATAAAAAGTTCATAATTGTATAATAAAAAGGGACTTTTAAATTTAACCTCTCCTCCATATGTATTCATTAACGTATTATAGATAAATACAATGTTGTTTTGTCCACTCTAAAACGTATTTTGCCGTAAAGAATCGTTCAACAGTAATACCGGAAGTAAAAGCTCCAGTCTTTTCCCTCTCTCTTTCTCTCTGGGCGCTGTGTTTGTTCTCTAGGGTAACCATGAACTTAGGACTGGTGCTGGTGCTTTTTTTGGTCATTCAGTGTTCCTGTAAAAAAAACAAAACAACAATAACACTGATAAGATATTATTATTGTTAATATTATACGAATTCTACTAATAAGAACAATATAAAAATGCACTAAGGATTAATGAGCTACTGGATTCATGAATATTAATCAGGTTGTGCGCCTTCGCTGGAACTGATTTGCTGAAATCAAAACAGGGACGATTTTTCTATTTTAATATATTTTAAAATGTGATTTAAAATGCATCTGTGATCAAAGCTGAATTTTCTGCAGCCATTACTCCAGTCTTCAGTGTCACATGATCCTTCAGAAATCATTCTAGTATCATTTGCTGCTCAAGAAACAATTTAATTATAAATAATAATAATTTATTATTATTGCTGCTTCATATTTATGTGGAAACCGTGATACATTTTTCAGAATTAATTTTATATATAGTAACAATGTTTTGTAGGCTAATGTAATAATGTGGCAATGGTTTCTTAAGATCTACTTATGCTTCTGATGTTTTTGGTAAACGCAGCCCTATTTGAACAAGCACTCTGAGCCATGCGTCAGCAGCGAACGCTGTCTGTGATTGATTGGTTCTGTCTTTCAGCATTTGCGTGTGTTCCGATGAGCAGGAGAAATGGTTCTATCCAACACAATTATTCGCTAAGAAGCTTTTTTTATGCACCAAATTTCTTGATAAATAAATAAAATTAAAAAATGCACTTTAGAATCGATATTTTTATGTGAGGATCGATCCTTTTGATACAACACCAGTATCGAAAGTATCGATGCTCAAGGATCGATCCGCCCATCCCTGACGGAGAGTGAAACTCTTAAGCACTCAGTCAGAAGTGTTCTGTGAGTGAAAATATATCTGTGCTAATCATATACTCAGCCTCCAACTCACACACTGGCGAGTAAAATCTGATAATTTATTAGCCATTGGCTAATATTAGACATCATTTAGTCGCCCAGAGTGAAGATTTAGTCGCATATGCAATGTAGAGGGTTGCTGCACATTGGAAGGACATCAAGTAATGCAGAGACTTCCCATGTATCATACTGTAAGGTCAAGTTGTGTAATAAAGCAAGGGTACATCACTCTTGTTTGCTAATTGGCTGTGTGGAGCTAATGGACTGTGTGTTCTCTCTGTGTTTCCAAAGGACAGTGCAGGGCCTCTCGCATTCTGATGTGCTTTTAGATGCCTTGTAATGGATGGCACAATACATTGCCAGACAAGGCTCAATAAACTGTAAACAAGCTAATTGATAACAGCATTTTTTTTGGGCTGAAACTTGTGAAACAGGACCCTCTGGCTCCTGATCATCATTTCCGCTGTCTTTTTTCTTATCTCCTTAATTTAGATGTCTGTTTTTTTGTTGCCATTTTTAAATGCCTCTCATTTTAAGATTGGATACATTTGATAGTGGGTTACTTTTAATCTGTTGCTATAAACAGGTTTAACATCCTCATATCTCTATTTTAGTACTTCTTTCTGAAGGCTGAAATTTTCTGCTTTTTGTGGCACAGCTGTCAGCGAATGTGACCTGTTTTTCACAAAAAACAGTGTGTGTTTTGTTAGTAGAAATGGCGTAAATTGGCATCAGCATTTGTACCATGGGCTGTTTGTGTTATATTGTGTCCATGTGATAGTTGATGTCTCATGCAACATGTTTTCCTTTCTCATGTGCACAGGCTTGTAATCACATAGTATTTAAATGAGACTCCTAAGTGTGTGAGTGCGTACTATATTTGGCCTCACATGAAGACAGATCATACAAGACTTCTGGGGCTCTAGGTCTGAAATGTGTGTTTATATCAGAGAGAGAACGCTGACAAAGCCTGGGTTGGTCTGCCTTAGTGAGTCAGTTTCCCCAGACTGTGCTGCCTCCACTCCTGCTCAGCCCAGACTATAATTATTTGATTATTTTGATCATTTCATATAAATGGACTGGTTATGGCTAGTATTAGAAATTGCTTTATGCAGTCTGTAGTGTACAAGTAGATTTCAACGCTCTATAGAAGAAGTGATTGGCTGTGTCATAATGTGCACACACGTCAGGACTTGTGATTACATTCCTATGGTTAAGCCCTGTAGTATGATGTACACATAGAAGAAAGAAAAATCAGTCTGCTATTCCTTGGTCCATTCATCCATCCCAAGATATCTGGTAGTTCTAAAATTGCCATGAAATGGAAATTCACCTTATCTATTGTCTAAATGCACATTTTTGATCAAATTGTGAACAATCAAAATGTCCTAACTTGATGTTCCGGCGGTGAAACGTCAGACTTGTTGCTGGTGAAGTATTCTAAACCCACCCCTTACAATCGACTGCTAGCTCACATTCAAATCTGCCTCCATCCAATCAAAAACTGATGGATAGAGCCAAGTCCCACCCTGCATTTTTTCCTTTTTGATAACCTGTTTAAAGGGGTCATATGATGTTGCTAAAAAGAACATTATTTTGTGTATTTGGTGTAATGAAATGTGTTTATGCGGTTTAAGGTTCAAAAAACACATTATTTTCCACATACTGTACATTATTGTTTCTCCTCTATGCCCCGCCTTTCTGAAACGTGTCGATTTTTACAAAGCTCATCGGTCTGAAAAAGCGAGGTGTGCTCTGATTGGCCAACTATCCAGAGCGTTCTGATTGGGGCCTTGCGGCAACCACATGTGACGACCCCGGGCTGGACTCTGCTTTGTCCACGGTGAAAGCCGATCCGGTGATCCACAGCGCACCAAGAGCTTGTAACACTCCAAAGAGAAAGGAAAAATTGAAATCGCACCATACCCTTTAACTCTTATCACAATACAGGAGAAATGATCTGTTGCTACTTCCATTGTACCTCAACTTTAAGATGGCACAGAAGTGCTTTGCTTTTATGGAAAACAAATTCCTTGTATGTGTAAACATACCTGGCAATAAAGCTCATTCTGATACGTGCAAAGTTTGGTGCAAAAGTAAAATGAAAATTAAATTTTATAATTTACATTTGCCATTTCCAACAGTAGTCTTAATATGTAAATTGCACGCACATTTGAACGCTTTATAAGTTGCGAAATTAAAATGAAAATAACACAAATTGATTTGATATGTGTAACATGTCCAAGCAGAAATGGTAGCAAAATGATCATTTAAATGCTATTTGTCCTAAATGCATTTAGACTAACAGAACACTTAGGATTGCATTTTCATCATGACGCCGTGGGATATTTGTAGCAAAATTCAATTTGAAAATGCATTCCGAGCTGACCACTCAGAACGACTTATTAGCCTACAACACCTTTAAATACTTATTCAGGGAAGTACAGCAGGAGGCAGGAAATGGTTGAGTATTATTTTAGGTATAAAATATCATTATTGTAATGCTTGTAATGTCCATTTATAGTCTTTACACAGCAGCTTGGCTCCTTAAATGTTTAAACACCAGCTAATTTCAAGACGCTGGCGTCACGTGCGTCACCCGCAGTGTAAGACACTCAAAGCTCAAGACGTTCGGATAGTCGTTCGATCGGTCGTTCGAACGAACGTTTGATTGCATTTTAAATTGAATTTCGCTACCTATATGCTTCCATATGCTTTTAGGGAGATTCCTGCTTGCTTAAACCCATTTCAGTCTGCCTGGTTAAAAGTGAACAACCATTTAGTTATAAAGATAAATCTTTTGCATTTCTTCTTTTGCAGTTTTGGTCTTTAGTTTTGGGTTTTGAGTGTTGCTATGAAAGCAAATCCACCAATTCAGAGGTTTTCAAACTGAGGGTAGCATAGGGGTTGCAACATTATAAATATGAAAATATTAAATTGACTCTTCGCAAAGACCTGCCCCTATTAGTTACTGTTGCTATGTCTGACAAGCCATGGTGCTTTCACGCCACACATCATGTTCTCACACAGTGAAAAATACATTGCGGAGCAAAGAGGACACTGGCAACGCACCGACAGACAAGACAAGAGCAGGTTGCTTTAGGTATGAAACAGTCGCAGCTTTCAAATTTTGTCTTTTTTTAAATTTTTTTTAAAGAAAGTCAAACAATAAATGTTGTGATGGATTGAAGTAGCGTCTCAGTTCAAGCATCACATGAACCACTCATCTCTTCCTCTTTGCTAGTTATAGCATGAAATAAACATGAATGAACATCAGAA